ACCCTAACCTAACCCTAACCTAACCTAACCTAACCTAACCTAACCTAACCTAACCTAACCTAACCTAACCTAACCTAACCTAACCTAACCTAACCTAACCTAACCTAACCTAACCTAACCTAACAGACCCTAACCCTAGCCTATGGCTATGACGTGAAGACCACGTGATTACATACGTCATCGTCACCTGACACGGTCTAGATGGGTCCGAGTTCTTTGATCCGATCACGGATCATAGAAGTCTTCTTTCGCAAGAAGTTCGGATTAATCTCGAAGGTTTGATAGAAGTGGAAGCGGACGGTGCCTTCGGGATGTCCGTATGACATGCTTCTCCGGTCTAGTAGCTTCGGCGAACGTCGGCTGATGGTAGTCAAGCTTCTTTAAAACTCTGTTACTAACAGGTTGAGTCATCTTTGCTGATTTCGCTTACAAACACGGGCCTATGGCGGGCCGCTTAGCAATCAGTATCACGTCCCTCCAATGAGGGCGTGTCATTCTACAAGTCTCCATAGCAAGTTCTTTCTCAGTCGAGTCCTTGCTGACATCGCGCCTTACTGCGCCCCGGTCGCTCGTCCCTCGCGACGTCCGAACCATGCTGACCAAGCGGATCTGAAGAGCCTATAAATATAGGCGAAACTTGGGGGTGGACGCCATTCCACCCAAGTCATCCAAGTCAGCCACAAGTCCTTCAGCAGGCAGGTCGACGCCAACACCACCTAACCACCAATCCTGTCTCCGCCACCCCACCTTCTCGCACATCTACTCGCCATGTCCGAACATGCGCAGAACATGCAAGGCATCCTCCGGGCTCTCTCACCTCAGGTGGAGAGCATTGGACAGGGTCTCCTCGGAGCCCGGTCCGGCGCAGCTCAAGTCGACGCCGACCCCCAGGTCGGTCGTCTTATGCGCCTGAGCTCGGCCTCTTCAACAGAGGAGCTCATTTCCTTGGTCCCTGCGGACTATAGGAACGTGCTGCGGGCCCCCCTTTTGGGGCTCGCCTCCAACTGTGAAAAGTTGGAGTCGTCCCGCACCACCCTTCGTCGGTGGGAGCAGCACAAGGCTGCCGGCACTATGCCGCCGCACCTCCGCCAGCAGCAGCCTCAGCTGCAGTTGGTTAAGCAGTTTGCTGAGTCAGCTGGCTCGGCCGACTCCCGAAAGGAGTTCGACTCTGCGTGGAAGGTCTGGGCTGTGAAAAGCCTGGACGAGTCTATCAAGGCTAAGACCGATGAGGTCTCTTTCTTGGAGGCTGTGATGGCCCACGATCGCGTCTATCAGGCGCTCGAGCCCGTCGTAACGGCCCGGTTCACTGAGCTTTGTGCTCATGGCCAGGTCCCCACGTTCGTCCCAAATGCGCAGGGGCTGCCCGTCCTTTCGGACTGGACCACCCCTGCCTATTTCAACGTGGTGTATCGCGACCTGCTCGCCGACCTTCCCATGTATGGTCTTCGCATACAAACCTTCGCCGCCAATAAGGCGCAGGCCATGGCCCAGTCAATGAGGGCCAAAAGGGAAGTCGTCGCTGCTGCGGACGTCGAAATGGCCGATGCCGCTCCCACGGGAGTTGCCGGCCCCGGACCTTCGACCATCCAGTCTATGGTGGACAAGGCCGTCGCCGCCCGCATGAAAAAGCTTGAGAAGCCCGAAGGAAAGGGCAAAGGCAAGGGCAAGGGGAAGGACGTAAGTCTTTCTCAGGACTTCAGTTCACTGCAGTTCGTAACTTACTCTTCTCTTCTTGCAGAACGGCAAGAAGAAGACCTCAAGCTCCTCCAGCAACGCCAAACGACCACCCGAGGTCAAACAGTACGTGCCTCCTCCAGCACGCTTTCTCCCTCGGTCACCTATCGTTCCTTGGCGCAGCTCCAACAAGAACAGCAAGTCGGGCCCCAAGCGGGGCAACGCAACTGGTTCCAAACGGGGCAAAGGCAAGGGGAAGCGAGGCGGGAAGAAGTAGCACGCCGGATGTCCGAATATCGGTACGGCTCGCCTTCCACGCTTCCTGATCTAATTCTAACATTAGACTTTCGCACAGCTGTACAATTAGTCATATTGAATACGCCACATGATGTAGTGGCTGCGTCTAAATTTAAAACTATGATACACGTGTCCCCTGGTGTGAACTTGCCCATTGAAATAAGTCACATGTTATCCGTCGGAGCAAGGTATATGTTCTTCTCCAAATGCAATTCTCATTTAATCTGGAAGAGTTGGATGGACTTTCAGCGACGCCTTCGTTGGCGTTTGTTGTTTAGTTTCAAAGGCGATGATAACCAAACTTACGATCCTGATTACGATGTTAAAAATAAAACTGTAAAGGTCCCTACGCATCGTTTACCCAAATATATTGAGTTGGGCTTGATTAAAGGTCGGATCTTCGTGCGTGACACGATATCCAAAATACCCGAATCAACAAACCTAGGCACTTATAAGCCTCTCGAGCCTAAGTTAGGCCTGCTCAAGCAATTCTTATTGGACAATAAATATGTCGTCACCGGCACTGATAAGAACTTAGGCATTGCGGTGTCTGAGAGCACCTGGATACGTAAGATGTCACTAGATGTCGTCTCGAACCCTTCGGACTATAAAGTTCTAAGTAAAGTTCAAGCTGAGATAATTCTAAACAAGAAACATACTGAAATGATTACTATTGCCGAGATGGCCGAAGTAGCCTACGCATTAGAAGCTGGCAACCTACCCGATTTCCTGCGGTCTAAATTAACGGAACCGGGCGCTGAGCATCATATTCCTGTATTTTACGGGATACCGAAAATTCATAAATACCCTGTGAAATTTCGGCCGATAATACCCTGTCACTCAGCCGTTCAAAACCCTGCAGCTAAGTTTGTTTCTAAAAAACTTAAACCTATTATTAATAAGGCGCCAACCGTAATTCACGGTACCAAAGATTTGGCGATAAAATTAAGTAAACTCCACCTACAGCCCGGCCGGAAACTTTATATAGTAACCGGCGACGTTGTCGCTTTCTATCCGAATGTCCAACTAGATAAATGTCTAGATATAGTTTTCCAATATTATATGGATTTCTATTTTGGGGATGTACAAGATCACGACAGCTATGCGAATCTGGAAGTCCAGAAGGTATTTCGCCGAGCACTTCATGTAGCCAATGAGGAGTTGATTACACAATACGATGGCCAGATTTATCAGCAACTCCGTGGCCTTGCCATGGGCGTTGCTGACTCACCTGATCTTGCTAACTTATACGGATGCTATTTCGAAGATAAGTCTGGCGTCATCGGCCACCCACTAATACCTTATTATGGGAGGTACATCGACGATTGTTTCGCATTAGTATATGCTTCTAGTGAGAACGAAGCATTAGGTCTAATCCAGTCGTTAATTAAATACGATGGTTGTGTAATAGAATGGTCGGCCTCGGATAAATTTAGTCCGTTCCTAGACATGTGTTTGTTTTTCGACGAATTTGGAAAACTTCAGCACATGCCATACCGCAAGGCCGGTAACCATCAAGAAAGAATTCCATGGATATCTCACCACCCGCTCGATGTAAAGCGCGGGACCTTTATTGGTGAGATGTCACGGTTAGCCACGCTTAGTAGTACGCTCGTCACGTACCTCGAAGCACTGAAGGGTCTGGTAACCCTTTATGTCGTTCGTGGTTATCCGGAACAACTTGTTAAGTCTTGGTGCGATAATAACATCAAAGTACGCTGGGAAAGCCGACTGCGTGAAGCGGTTAAAACTCCGGAAGATGACGTACTTGTGCTAAAGACAGAATTTAACATGGCATGGAATTATTTCAATGCTAACGAATTAGGTAATACACTTTTCAAATATTGGCGCGACTGGCTCGAACGAGCCGATCGCGGGGAATTCAGTATGGAATACCCGGCACCTGAAGAGGAAGATCACGACCTCCCCGATGTGGACCCGCGGCTTCGGTCCGTGGCCCATGTTGGGTTGGCCCCCGTGGACTACCCCGACTTGCGCAAATTAAATATTTGGAATCGTAGATTAATCACGTCACGGAAACGTACGCAAAATCTTTACGACCTTACTAACCTTTGGAAAAAAGTTGTATTACAGAACCTAGATGAGCTTATAGCTAATCCGCCGGATATGGCAACATATGAAAATCCCGCGGCCTCGACGAATATCGAGGAGTTATTCCATGATTCTCTCGTGGCGCATACGCTAAGCGCTTCGATAGCCGGGCCGTCCACAACGGCCTCACCTTCTCCGGAACCGGAGGGCTACGAAGACGAATACGGTACGCGTCATCGCTCAAATAGATCCCCCATGGGGTGGGAACACTGACGTGCTGATAGGCCGGCCGGGTTCGTCCCGGCTGGTGCACTTTGGGTCCGGTACTTCGGCTAGTACACGTCCGGTACGCTTCGGCGGAAAGTCGTCAAAACCGCGGGAAAGTCCTGAGGTCATCGCCGGGCGGCTCGAAGCCGCTCCCTATTGGCCGCCCCAGTGTTTTCGCACCAGGGATCGAAACGGTTCGATTCGTTGATGTAACGCATATAAACAAATCTTGTAGGTGCTACGTAAACTGCCTTCGTAAGCAGACGGTGTTAACCGAGGGTTTTTAGGAAGCCCAGGTCGGGCAAGGCACTGACCTAACCTAACCCTAACGTACGCTATCTTAATCGATATTACATGATAAGATGTCTAACTAGACTTCGGTTTAATTAATTGTTGTAGCCTAACCTAACCTACTCCTAACCTAACCGAACCTAACCTAACCTAACAGAAACCTAACCTAACAGACCCTAACCCTAGCCTATGGCTATGACGTGAAGACCACGTGATTACATACGTCATCGTCACATGACACGGTCTAGATGGGTCCGAGTTCTTTGATCCGATCACGGATCATAGAAGTCTTCTTTCGCAAGAAGTTCGGATTAATCTCGAAGGTTTGATAGAAGTGGAAGCGGACGGTGCCTTCGGGATGTCCGTAAGTCATGCGCCCCCCTCGCCTCGGCGAGTTCTCGGGTGGTAGGCAAGCTTCTTTAAACTCTGTTACTAACGGTTGAGTCATCTTTGCTGATTTCGCTTACAAACACGGGCCTATGGCGGGCCGCTTAGCAATCAGTATCACGTCCCTCCAATAAGGGCGTGTCATTCTACAAGTCTCCATAGCAAGTTCTTTCTCAGTCGAGTCCTTGCTGACATCGCGCCTTACTGCGCCCCGGTCGCTCGTTCCTCGCGACGTGCGACTATGCTGACCAAGCGGATCTGAAGAGCCTATAAATATAGGCGAAACTTGGGGGTGGACGCCATTCCACCCAAGTCATCCAAGTCAGCCACAAGTCCTTCAGCAGGCAGGTCGACGCCAACACCACCTAACCTAGCGCCTAACGAGCGCCTGTTTCCTTTTTGGGATTTTCCCACGTTCCATTTTAGGTGGTACAGCGGCGCGCTTTGTAACGCCGCTGTCGGTGGTTTAAGCGCCCGTCCCGACGCTTTCTCCATATTAGGAAGTTGCCTTAACTGGCTGTTTCCTTTTTGGGTTATTCCCACGCCCCCTTTTATGGTAACTCGAGCGCTTTGGACTTTGCGTCAAGCAGGTCGATGATTAAGCGCCCTTCGGGCGCTTTTTTCTCGATTTAGCGCAAGCGGCTGTGTACTTAGTCAGCGTTCCATGTAACGCCGATTACGTAATCCGGATTTTTCCGCGATCCAAGGTATTATGCGCAATGTACTGATGATGACTCCTTAGTCGAAACGCCTGCCATTCCGCACACCGGGGGGCAACGTTTACAGCGCAGCGACAAGCGAGTCGTACAACCAAGAGTTTCATATCGGCGTAAGCCTTTTTCCAACCTAACCTAAACCTAACCTAACCTAACCTAACCTAACCTAACCTAACCTAACAGACCCTAACCCTAGCCTATGGCTATGACGTGAAGACCACGTGATTACATACGTCATCGTCACCTGACACGGTCTAGATGGGTCCGAGTTCTTTGATCCGATCACGGATCATAGAAGTCTTCTTTCGCAAGAAGTTCGGATTAATCTCGAAGGTTTGATAGAAGTGGAAGCGGACGGTGCCTTCGGGATGTCCGTATGACATGCTTCTCCGGTCTAGTAGCTTCGGCGAACGTCGGCTGATGGTAGTCAAGCTTCTTTAAAACTCTGTTACTAACAGGTTGAGTCATCTTTGCTGATTTCGCTTACAAACACGGGCCTATGGCGGGCCGCTTAGCAATCAGTATCACGTCCCTCCAATGAGGGCGTGTCATTCTACAAGTCTCCATAGCAAGTTCTTTCTCAGTCGAGTCCTTGCTGACATCGCGCCTTACTGCGCCCCGGTCGCTCGTCCCTCGCGACGTCCGAA